GGTGTGTCTTCACTACACCCACACCCTATGATCAAATATCTAGAACAAGAAGATACTCGAGTGTGTGAAAGAGTATTTGCGTACTCAAAAAAATAGAAACAACTTATAAATGCGTCAAAAACAGTGGCGCAGTTATTTTATACACAAATTAAAAAAAGCCAAGAGTAAGCATACAAGTGAATGGACAAAAAATCGAATTAGTAAACGAATTTAAATACTTAGGATTCACTTGGACAAGCAAACTATCTTTGAAATCAACAGTTGATAGATGTGGAGGAAACATTCGGAAATCCTTGAGAAAACTAAGGTGGTTGAGAGCAAAACATTTTATGTTCACTAATGCGCTTAGGCAATGTTTCTTCGCATATACATTTCCCCATTTTTCATGAATATTCCCCTTCTTTCCCTTGTTGCTCGTGTCACATCAACAATTATTACAGCAGAAATTCAGTGTTGATCTTCGACTGGTGCATCGCTGCCCTTTTGTCTCAGCTCATAATCTATACACTATGGCTAGGAAAGATTCTTTAGAACTATACGTTAAACACTACATTCAGAGTAGATTAAAAAGTATAGACACAACAAACCTTGGTCGTTCACTCTTCTAAAACAATATATTTATTTGGGATGATTTTCATAAAAGAAAAAAGGATCACCTTGGCCAGTTTTTTTTCATAGTAATCGAGTAAAACAATTAATAGATAATCATGAATCGCTCCTCTTAAAATGGATATCATTTATTGACATAAATTAATGCTAAACAAAGAAAAGCACATGTAATATCCTTATACTTCTCTCCCCTTCTGTCTTTCTTTCTTTTGTGCTGTTTTCTTTTTTTTCTGGTCTTGAATGCATACGTATATACTCCTTTGTTGTCTTTTTCTCTTCTCATTTCGCTCTCCCTTTGCTTCATGACTTTTTCAATAGTTTCTTTTTTGTATTTTGTGTTTTTTTCTTTTTCGTTGCACTCTTCTCTTTTTTTTCTCTTCTTCGTCCTTTTTTCTGTCTCTATATTTACTTTCTTAACCCCTATGCCAACTGAGTTAATACTCGATACAAAGGTATCGATGATGATGACAAAATTCATTGTATTTATGTTATTACTCAGTGCTTAAATACCTAATTTTTCCTTATATCATCATGTAAGTACTTCCGAGTGTTACATCTAAAGCATAATTAAAAAAATGGTAAGTGTTACTTAGGGCATACCAAAAGTAGTGACGTCCGCATCTCAATTTCTTATAGAAGGCTTAAGTAAATTTTCTTTTTTTATGAGATGATAGAGAAAACGAAGCTCTATTTTTTTGTGCTATTCCATCTCTATTTAACTGGTATCATAATAATAAAATTTCGATAAGAACTGTTTTTGTGTAAAACTTCACTAACGCATGAGGCAGATTAAATATTTGAATCGCTTAATACGTTGTATTAAAAAACAAAATATACCAAATGATGCAGCGTGAAAAGCTCTACAATTTACATAAGATGGCTTTTTTTACAGTTGTACTTTTTGTTTTCAAAATGAACAAAATTTTGAGTGATCCAGTTTCGAACGTGCGAAAACAATAGTTTTTGATGTAAGATGAGTTCATTTGTTCTTATTTCATCTTTTTGTCATCTAATATCCTTTATTTAAAAAAAACAAAATATATCACAAGATGCGGCCTGAAAAGCTCTACAATTTACATAATAAAAATTGTTTTAATTATGTCGCCTTGTCAAAAGAAAACAAAATTCTGTGTAACCAATCTTCGTTGCCCGAAAAAAATCATGGAAAGAGAAATTTCTTTTTACTTATTTCAAATACAAAATAAACTGTTGTTTATAAATTGTAGAGCTTTTCACGCTGCATATTTTGGTATCTTTTGTTTTTAAGTATAACGTATTAAATGATTAGAAATTGGAATAGAAAGCATACTAATGCACTAGTGAAGTTTTACGCAAAAACAGTTCTTATCGAAATTTTATTATTATGATACTAGTTAAATAGAGATGAAATAGCACAGAAAAATAGAGCTTCGTTTTCTCTATCACCTCATAAAAAAAGAAAATTTACTCAAGCCTTCTATAAGAAATTGAGATGCGGGCGCCACTACTTTTGGTATGCCCTAAGTAAATCAGAATGGCGCGCATCCTGTAAGTATTCATGAGCTATGAGTGCCCTGAAAAGAGTTCGGCTCAATCGCCTCCTACTGCCAAGATATTTTTTTTCTTCTACCATACAGAAACACCAGAAAAACTAAGTTTTGAATTTCTACTTGAAACTTTACATAGAGACAGGTCTTAATGAGAATAGTTTATTGTAAAAAGTTCAAATCTGTTGATTATTTCTATCCTAAGATATGGCTATTAGAAAAAGTATGTTTTTCACACCGCTCATCTACAACAACAAATTCCGATATGCTTATTTCAGAATAAGTGTAATCAAAAAATCTAAAACTTTTACAATAAATTATTCTCATTAAGGGCTGTCTCTATGTAAAGTATCAAATCGAAATTCGAAACTCAGTTTTTTTCGATATTCCTATACGATAAAAATAGCGTATCTCGGCAATGGTAAGTTATGAACCTGAACTTTTTTGCAGAGTATTCATAGTTCATTAGAATCTACATGATACACATTATCTTGGCTCAAAAATGATTTGACACTTAATAAACGTTCTCTCCTAAGTACATTATTAAGTTTTGTATGGATAAAACTGATGTTTGTGATTTAACAGAAATATTCGAATATTTTTGAATTCCTAATAGCAATCCTACGAAAAGTGATACTAATATTTTTAAAGTATTGAGATATTCAAAAACAAAAGAAAAATGTAATAATATCATACATTAACTATTTCTTTTTTTGTCTTCTAGAAAGAATAGAAAAAATTTCATCTATCTCTTCATTATCTCGGTAAAAAAAAATATTTAAAAATGAGAAATTCTCAACGTTTATTATCGTTCAATGTATTCATTTACTTTCTATTATGTATTATTCTTTTACCAAAATATATTCAATGTTATATGACAACAATAATAACTCATGAATATTATTCACCAGAGTCAAATTTTACAAATAAAACTGACGAAACACAAACAAATGGTTTTGTATCAACTAAAGGTAGTCAATCAATAGTTCGTAATGCTAAAGCATTTATTTTAACTGATATAAATGGCACTTTTGATGGATGTAAACAACCAATTAATCCAATGAATATTTCAAATGGTATTGCTATTATTCAACGTGGTGGTAATTGTACATTTAGTGTTAAAATAACACATGCTAAACAATATGGAGCATCAGGTATTATTTTAAAATGAAAAAAAAGAATAACATAAAGAAATTTTCTTTTGTGTTTCTTTTTAGCTGTTATTATTTATGAACCATTCCATTCTGGTATGGAGCTATATAATATGTTACACAATAATTCTGATATATTATCTGTTTATGTTCAACGATCAATTGGTTCTAGATTATTTAATCTAGCTAAAGATATTCGTACACAATTAAATATAACATTACGCCCAATAAATATTGATATTGATAATTCCCTCGACTGAAGGGAGGGTCATATGAAAAAAAAAATGCGTCTGTTGGTTTGTGTCAGGGTCAAAGGTCAAAAAAACATCGCCTTAAAAATTCAATGATAGACGTTTTTCTCAATCCTGAAAGGATAGCGTTTTGGGTGTGGGTGTGGGGTGTGGGGTGTGGGTGTGGGTGTGGGTGGGAG